AAAGCCTCACCTCATCTGTGCTCTAAAATTGTCTTTTTTCGGAAATAGCCATGAAATATAAAAACTATTGCAGAATATATATGTGGAATGTGGCTTTCTGATTGGAACAAAACTTCTTTTAGAGTTAATCCTCAAGACTTCATAAATATCTATTTCCAGATTTCAGCTCACTTATGGATCATTTGGCAAGAGTTTTGAGTCAAATTTGAATAGATTTTAAGTTTCCTCTTGTACAAGCCCACATAGTGCTTTTCTCACTCTATAAAGAGCTGCATTATATAATTTGGGGGATTTGATAGTAGATGTAGCAGCACTTTTAGGCTCAACAAGGGCTAAAAGCTGATCTTGAATTTTTTTTTTAGGAAAGATATTTTTAAGAGATGGAACAGATATACCTTTTCTCTTTACCAACACTGGAACAAGCAACTTCATGTTTCTGTGGAATGTTTTGAGTTATAACAGTGGGAAACATAGCGCACTAGTAGTGCAACCATTTATCTCCCCACTTATTTCCAGAGAGCAGTCAAATAGCCATTCAGTTATTAGTCTTCAATTTATATGCACACCAACCAGTGAAACTTGTGGCAAAATCTGGTTAAGCAGTTCATGAATAGTGCTCTAAAATATTTCTCCTGACAGGTGGACTCTACACCACATATTTTGGGTTTTATTTGTTCTTTACAAATGTTACTAACAGGACAACTCTATTTAAAATATAAAAAGTAAAGTTTCAATTTTACATTTTTGAGCATGTGCAGAAATGATTTTAAAGAACAACTAATATAACATTTGCTGACCAGTTTGGATGTTAGGTTCCTGGACTAATAGAATTTATCATCTTAGGAGGAAATGCTTGATAGTGTCTCATCTTGAGATTAGAGACTAGAACAGAACTAGATCAAAAAATTAATTCCAAAACATAATTTTCTCTTGTGGCCATTTCACATAAACTGGAGTGCTATTATGCTACTTATATTTTTATATTCTTAGAAGCACCTAAAGTTATACACAGAAGAGATTAAATCAGTTATTTACATGTTCATTTTGCCAGTTGGAGGCCATATTGGAAAACTAGACTGACTTATTCTTTTTATTATTTTCCTGATAAGCAAGAAAATTCTATTTTCAAAATAATAAAGTTTGTATAAGAAGTGAAATCATTCATAATTTATTTAATTATCTGAAATCCCACATATTAAAGTTTGATTTACAGGGACAGGGTCTCATTACTGATTTACCTCAACAAATGAATTTATTTATTCATGTAGAATAGCATTTAGAAAAGTACACAATTCATGAGTATATGGCTCATAGATTTTCTACAAATGACCACCACCCAGATCAAAAACTGTAACACTACAAACACCAAGAAACCTCATGATACCTTTTCTCATTAATGATTCTCTGTCTTCCCCAGGGTTAACCATTTTCTTTATTTTAAAACCATTTATTAGTTTTGACTCTTTTTGAACCAAGTATAATCATGCATTATATAAAATTTTATATTTGGCTATTTTCCCTTAGCAATTTGTTCACAAGATTTGGTTTTGTGACTCCACTGATAGCAATTGAATTTTCTTCCTATGTAGTATTCATTCAATAGAAACTTACTATTCATGGACATTTGGCTTATTTCCAGTTTTCAGCTATTGAAGAAAGTTTTGTTTTGTTTTGTTTTGTTTTGCATTTTAAAATAGCTAACTTTATTGTCAGTGAAAAGATAGGCACAAAGTGGATTTAAACCTGCTTAACTTTATTGGAACTAACTCCACTGATTACAGAATAGGATCATAATCATTATGGGACCACATACATTTTAAACCAAAGGCAATTATTCACTAGCCATCTGCCAACCCCAGCTAACCATTTTACAAACACATGCCATTAATCAAAAGGGAGGTCAGAAGGAGGTTTGCTAGCTCCGTGTAACTCATCATTGCTACTGGAAGAAAATAAACAAACTCCCAACGCTTGTCCTACTGATGATGGATGGCACTTGGAACATGTATTTCCAAGGATTATAGTGGGATGAAACTGGTGGCAATGGGCTCACAACTGATTCTTTGCTTTGAAAACATTTTCAATAAGAAGGCACACATTTTAAAGTAATATATTCCATATATGAATTGAGCATTTGAGATAACAGGAAATTGTATGGCTAACAGACATGAGAATATAATTTATCAAAGTTAGCACATATGTTGTATATATCATAAGCCACCACATAATTTAAGCTCTTTATAAAGAGTTTGGAAATCAGTTTGTTCATTTCTAATTATTATACCCACCCAACAGTGTAACAACAAAAAAGAGATTATGGTAGGTCCCTTGGTATGTTTCTTATGGCAGATGCTGGCAGATAATTCAAGTTCCTGCTGTCCTATCACCTTGCAGCTCAAAAGCAGCTTTGAGACTAAATCCTTCATTAAGCCAACAACCAAGATACATTATTTTAAAAGAAAGCTCAAGCTACTTTTATTTCCAAAACATTGTCAATAAGAGTTTTATATCAAGTAAATTATTCTAATGAAGTTTTCCTATACATGGGACACTGGGGTACAACTGAATTAGAAGGTCCCCACAGACCACCAGACAGTACAAATTAAGACAAGGTCACCCTCCTGTCCTGAGGTGCCAGTAAAATGCATAGATAGATAAAAGTACAGAAAGATACACCAAATGTTACATCCATACAATTTTGAAAAGGTGGCCAACTTGAGATTTTACCCATGAACTTGAATTTTTAAAATGACACCTTTCTGAAAAGGCAGAATCTATATTCTCCGTAAACAGGATATACCAATATGGTCTTCTTCCATCTCATAGATGTACAATGTTATTTTAGCAAATTACCTGAGATTGAACATTGAACAGAGAGGGACTGCCTCTTTCTGAGAGGGCAGAGAAGTTCTAGAAAGTTCAAAATAGTACTTAGGCAAGAACTTCCTTTTTTCTCCAAAACACATGAGTCAAAGTGATGGCTGCCACAGTGTGGAATGTATGATATCTGTCACCTTACAGAACAGAAGTGATTACAATCGTGGTTCCAAGAGCTAGCAAAAACTCTGGCAATTATTTATCACCATGAAATGTTTATTTTTATTTATCTGCTCTCCTGATGTTTCTACTTGCTACTTCTACTATTTGAAGATATTTTCCCTTTATGACTAAAGGGTAATATGAATGAGTATTAGCAAGACTTCACTTTTAATTTCTACTTGATATTTGCTTTATAACTGAGGACTAACGTATAGGATGATCACTTCATATTGAAAATGTGAAAAGACTGGCTGAAAATCACATTGCCATCCCTCTTGTTTCTCCTCCCACCCATACATACACAAAATAATTCATTTAGAAAAATTAGAAACTAAAAAGAGTTTGGATAAACACACCATTCCTATACTTAAAGAGGAGCCCTGTAAAATGACCAATGACACCCAATCTCATAGCAAGAAAAAAAGTAGCATTGATTTCTTAGGAGGAATTTTCATGTGACACCAAGTTGAAATGAGAATCAGGAAAGGAAAAACCTGTACAAGGCACTACACGAGAGAGAGGCAAGATAAAAATCTACTCTATCCAGGGACATTTAACAAAATGCATACACCCTGAACCATGAATAATATGCCTTTTCTTAAGAATGGACTTTTCTTTTTTGTATATAAGTGTTTCTAAAAATAGGCAATGGCAATTGGCAGAGTGGACAGATATGCTGTTTGTGATCTTGCAAAAGTCACTAAACCTCTCCAAGTCTTACGTTCCTCATCACTAAAATTAGAGGGTAGGGCTGTACTGCTAAAGGTCCTTCCCACCACTATGGCTCATCACATTAGTGTATCAGCTACTCTTCTATTAACCTGGTTTCTAACTAACACATCCCCAAACCTCTACCCCCTTACCTAACACCCCCCAACTCCCTTCACCCTCCCTATACCCCTGAAAACTGATCTTAATGGAACTATCTTCAGATTTGTCACCTTAATGAAGAGCAGAGAGGTGATGCAGGCCAAGGACCTGTGGCAACTGGCATTCCTCTGTGTCCCTGGAGACAGCCCTATGGCAGGACTTGCTGCTGCAGTGTCCTTTGGTCCTCACCCACATGCGCATTTCCACTGCTTCCCAAAGACAGTTCAAGATAGAATAACTGGCAGTGAGAAGAGGTAGTTGAGGAGATGGCTACAACCAACCTCTCCCCATGACTGCAGCTTGGTACATTGGACTTCTGATGCTATTCCATTGAAGGTGACAGTCTCATATGCTTTTGAAGACATATACTAAGAATTTGAAGAAACAAAACTAATTATTTTAAAGTGGCCATCAGAAATTCAAAGCATTCAAACAGTTACCAAAAAATGCTTCCTCATTTTACAAATGACTGGCAACTGGAGACTGATGACCCTGCCAGCGAATCTGTGTAGTGGAAGAAATAAACACTAAGCTGACTGGTCTAAGCAAATGAGCTGAGTTCATGGCTACACCCAGACCACAAAAGTCTGCATGCAGCATCTCATGCAGCCCTCCATCAAGGCCTCTGATGTCTAACTCCCTACAAGAGAGGAAGCTGTGCATCACTCAGTTCATTTACTCTTTTAGCATCTGAGAGCAATGTATTAATTATCCAAATGCATAAATTACTCCAGAGTGTATATATATGAACATATGAACCTCCATGAGGGCACCAAAAGAATCTACTTCCAAAGTACAGCTGAAATGAAGATAAACACATTCTATTGGACAGGGTAGCTGGAAACTGGGAGGGAAAATTAGCTCCAGCACCTTCTGCACCCCAATACTTCCTACTTCTAACAGTTCCAGGTATTTGTATAAATCGCAACAATAAACTTGGGAGCACATTCTGATTAATCTACCCTTTAGAGGTATACTGGAGTATACCAGAATAAGACTGGAATTCTTATGGTATTACTAAGGTATTATATTGTTCCAATAAAAAGTCCCTTTAAAAAACATCCCCTCCCCCAACCTTTTTTACCATCAGAATAAGAACAAACAAAAGGGGAAAATGATTGAAAGCATTTTTGCTGATAAATTGCAGCTCTTGATTGGGCAGTTAGATGAGATATTCCACCATCTCTGCATCAGGTTCTTGTCCCAGGATCTGAATGGGAGCTTTTCTTTCCAGAGTATTGGAGTGGAAAACAGGAGCATCTGTCTTGTCTAGATTGCAGGTCAAATTTGGTATAGACAAACGACGTGGTCCAGAACTGGTAGCTGGACTTGCAGGAGCCTCAGCCTGAGCCAAAGCTGGAGTTGGAGTTGGAGCTGGCGGAGGAGCCACAGCCAGAGCTGAAGTCTGAGTCTGAGCCGGAGCAGAAGCCTGAGCTGCTGCTGGAGCAGGAACGGGAACTGGAGCTGGAGCTGGAGCTGGAGCTGGAGCTGGAGCTGGAGCTGGAGCTGGAGCTGGAGTTGGAACCAGAGCTGGAGCAGCTGGAGCAACCTGAACAGAAGCAGCAGCGGCAGCAGTGGCAGGAACAGGAGCAACAGCAGGAGCAGCAGCAGCAGCAGATGCGGCAGCTGGAATCTGAGCAAGCAGCAGCTGGAGCAGCAGCTACCATGATTGTGGTGTTGGTGGCAGCAGTGGCAGTGCTGGTGGCAGCAGTGGCAGTGATGGCAGCAGCAGTGGCAGCAGCAGCAACTGGAGCAGGAACAGAGATGGGAGCAACAGCTGCAGTTTTGTTTGGTTCCGTTCCACGTTCGGTTTGGGTGCTGCAGTCTCGGCTACCTGTCTTGGCATGAGCCGAGAGCAGAGGAGTGGAAGGGGGCACAGGTGAGGGTGTGGATGGAACAGATTCAGCACGGTAGTCTCCACCCAGGAGAATACCTAGGCTGCCCTTCCAAGTCTTGTCATCCCGCTTCTCCTCCATGATGGGGGTACCAGTCAGCAGTGGCAGGAACAGGAGCAACAAGCAGGAGCAGCAGCAGCAGCAGATGCGGCAGCTGGAATCTGAGCAAGCAGCAGCTGGAGCAGCAGCACCATGAGTGGTGTGGTGGCAGCAGTGGCAGTGCTGGTGGCAGCAGTGGCAGTGATGGCAGCAGCAGTGGCAGCAGCAGCAACTGGAGCAGGAACAGAGATGGGAGCAACAGCTGCAGTTTTGTTTGGTTCCGTTCCACGTTCGGTTTGGGTGCTGCAGTCTCGGCTACCTGTCTTGGCATGAGCCGAGAGCAGAGGAGTGGAAGGGGGCACAGGTGAGGGTGTGGATGGAACAGATTCAGCACGGTAGTCTCCACCCAGGAGAATACCTAGGCTGCCCTTCCAAGTCTTGTCATCCCGCTTCTCCTCCATGATGGGGGTACCAGTCAGAGTGGATGTGTGGGAGAGCAAGCCTGACCCGGCATTGGAAATGGACATCAGAGACTTTGCTGGCCGCATGTTGGACAACTGCTCTGTCTTACTTGGTTCCTTCCGGGAGCGCTGCTGGAGCACTTTGATCATGGCATCTTTCTCAATAATCTGGGCATGGAGGGTCTTAATCCTGCCCTCCATGTCCAGGCAACGCTTATTGGCCATCAAGATTGAAGAAAGTTTTTTATGAAGTTTTTTGCATTTGTCTTTTGACTTGGGTACATATGCACTTGTGTGGGCTATAGGGCTAAGAGTGTGATTACTTGCTCATAGCGTATTCTTACATTCGGCTTTAGAATTGAGTAACAAATAATTGGAAAAATAAAATGCTGTTATATTTGTGTTCAATTTTATCATTTAAAAAATTCCCTCTATGTTTCTTACTTCTCTGTGCTCCTTTTTTTTTTTAACCCTTGGTAAAATAAAAGTGTTGTGTTATCATTAAATCATTCCCTTTTCCCTGTATTAGATGCTTGGGAAATATTCCTTTGTTCCTCTTCAATGATTATCCTGAAGACTGTGACATGTATTTCTGGATTGATGCAACCCAATGTAGTGGTTTTGCAACTTCCTAGTCAGTTTGTCTTCTTTTAATATTTAGCTTTGTTACAGGAGTTTAAGGCCCTAAGCCCAAACTCCTGTGTTCCAGATGTCAGGTCCAGCCCCTACCCAAAATAAGGAGATAAGTAATGGTGGTGGTCACAGAAAGGAGAATTCACATGGCATAGGTGCACCATGGGAAGAGGAAAGGTGTGCATTTCTACACATCTTCCTCAGACAGATTTTGCCTTAGGTTTAAATAGAGGAGAAAGAATTAGGGTCAGAGGGAGAGAAGTATGTCTAATTATTTAAAAGTCCCAGTCACAGGTGTATGTACTGGTGGTCATAGGTGGCAGTCACAGGTGGTGTGGTTGCTCGCTGTCTCAGAAATGATCAGGTGGGACCTTGTTACAATAAGAAAGTCATTGATGCCTTGTGTATGGTCTTCCTGAAAGACTCTGCTACTCCTTTCCTTGAGAGCATTCCACTGTAAAAATATTATCAGATCAGTCCTACCTTCCTTCCTGGATTCCAAGATGATTGTAAAGTGACTGCAGAAGAGAAAGGCTCAAAGCAAAGGACACAGATACAAGATGGGGACAGAGATGCCAAACTTTTCGCTTGCTTTTAGTTAATTCAAGGGCCCCATAAGGAGTTGGTGCTATTCAACAAAATCAGTTGTTAAATACTTGTTACAGCTTCTTGTTATTATTGTAATGAATATTACAGCTCTAAATTTTAAATCCCTAAATCCAACATCACTATCACCATCATCACCATCATCATTATGTTCGTCAGCTTTTTCATATTTGTGACAAAAATACTTGAGAAAAACAACCTAAGGAAGGAAAGATTTGTTTTGGCTCACAGCTTCAGGGGGTTCAGACCATGGCCACTCGCCTCTTGTAAGGCAGTATTCATGGCAATAGGCATGCTGGATGAATGCGTCTCACCTCATGGCAGCCAAAAGCAGAGAGAAAGAGAGAGAGAGAAAGAGACCTACTTCCTCTAATAGGCCGCACCGTCCAACACCGTCTTCAGCTGTGGACTCATAAATAATGAAGTTAAACCTACATGATCCCATCACTTCTTGATAACATTGCCATATGGGGACCAAGCCTTCAACACCTGAGCCATGAGCCTTTTGGGGGACACCTCATATCTGAGCCATAACCTTCATCAGCATCATCGCTATAAGCACTGGTTCATTGTGCACTAATTATCAACTTGTCTGAGTTGGGTAAGAAGAAAACCCCCACACACAGCAAGTTGCATAAAATGGATTTATTACTTTCAGATAGGAATCAAGGTGGAACAAAAGTCAAAGATTCTTCAGGATCTGGTCCCCAAGCTTCCTGGGTGACTACGGGGACTTACTATGTGACTTTTTGGGGATAATGCAGGCTGAGGTGAGGGATGAGCGCAATGTCTGGGTGATTCCTTCCAGGTCTTCTTGAGAACTGCAAACAAGAAAGAGGGGAGCTGAGTTGGTGTAAGCCTACCTGAAGAACTGTCATGCAGTCATCATCAATTTAGATAAGGATGTACTTTCTATTCCTCCCCATTAATTCCTGAAATATTTATTTTTTGCTTTCATTTATGGTTACTTTTGTTTTGATTTAAAAATCTTCTTTAAGTATTCTTTTGGAGTGTTGATCTGTTAGTGACAAATTCTATTTCTCTTTGTTATATCTAAAATCCTCTTTACTTCACTAATTTTGCTGAATACAGAATCCTAGGTTGGCAGGTGGAGTGGCTCAAGGGGAAGAGTGTGCTTGCTTAGCAAACATGAGGCCTTGAGTTCAAACCCCAGTATCGCCAAAAAAAAAAAAAAAGAGAGAACAGAATCCTAGGTTGACAGTTACTTTGTTTTAGTATTTTAAAAATGCCATTTGATTGTCTTCTGGCTTCTATTGTTTCTGTTGAAATGAGAACCGCCAGTTTTATTGTTTTACAGTAGAATGTAAAGTGGGTTTTTTTCTTTTAATTTTTCCTGATTATTGTTAATGATGGTCTCCTTATATTTAATTTTCAAAATTCTTACTATATTGTGTCCAGATATGGTTTTCTTTGTATTTTTTCTTCTTGGTTTCTAGAGGGTTTAACATTTATAACTTTACCATTGAAATATTTTAACCAGTATCTCCAACTACTTCTCCCCCTTCCAACTCTCTCTTCTCCTGGTGAGTCTCCAGTTAGACGTTTTTTATTATCCTGTGTCTCTTGGGTATGTTTGATACTTTTCATCCATTTACTGCTTTCAATTCATCAATGTGAATTATTGACTTATGTTTCTTGTTACCTTCTCCCATCTGTTATGTTTAATATTCTATTAAGTCAATCTTTGGTATTTTAGTTTTAGATATATACTGCATTTAAAAAATTTCCATGCTATTATGCTTTAAAAAAGATCCAGTTCTCAGATTAAATTTCAAATGTTTCCTAATTTAAAAACATATTAACCACAGCTACTTTTAAGGCTGTGTATAAGAACTGTAATACCTAGATTACCTTTAAGACTGGCTCTGTTATTTTTCCTCCCACTTTGGTTTTCAGTCATTTGGTCCTTATCACTTGACATAGGCTGGTATCCTTTGAATGATTACCAAACATTTTTAATGAACTCTTGTGGTAATCATTAGCAACTCCAATGTTTGTTTGATGTACCAGAAAGGAATTTCAATTCTTTCTCACATGCAGCTAGTGTTGGGATAACTGACTTTAATTTGGTTTGGTACAGAACTTGTGCCAAGTGAAATCAAGCCTTTTGTTAGGGTAGATCCGTATTTGGACACCCCTGATTCCTAAATTGCAGTAATTCCAGAAACCTGTTCTGGAAACTCTAGGTGGTTTGCCAAGCTCATTCTGCCTTGGCAGACTCTGAATTCGATTTTTTGTTAACTCTAATCTGTGCTTAGCTTATGAGTCTTGAACTCTAATTTCAGACTCTTGGTCATGAAATTGCTAAAGAACAGTAAATTGAGAAAAGCAACAAAATTTGTATGTGTGTACTTGAGTGTACCTTCTTTTTCTCAGGGGTTTTGCATTACAGGTCTGACAGGCTTAGTTCATGTAACTCTGGAATTGTGGCTTGCAGACCCCATTTGACTGCTGCAAACTCATCAACTATTCTCATTTTTCATTCCGATATTTTCTGTTCGGTTTTAGAGTTCCTATTCTTTGTGTGCTTAGGAATTAACACATGACTTGTGGGAAAATGTAGCTCACTCTATGTCAGACTCACTTCAGTGAACTTTCTCTCCACAATTCTAACACCTCTAGCCTAGTTGCCCTGGAAGCTGTTTTCTAGCTAGTTTTGTGGGGAAGTATTTTTGCTACAAGCTCTTCCACTTTTTTTTTTTTTTTTGCAGTACTGGGACTTGAACTCAGGGCCTTCACCTTGAGCCACTCTGCCAGCCCTATTTTTGTGAAGTGCTTTTTGAGATAGGGTCTTGCAGAACTAGTTGCCCAGCCTGGCTTCGAATCATGATCCTCCTGATTTCTGCCTCCTGAGTAGCTAGGATTACAGACATGAGCCACTGGCACCTGGCAAGCTCTTTCACTTTTAACAGAATAAGTTAAATTCAGTTAACTTATGCTCTGAATTATTCACTAAGAAAATATGATTCTCAAAAAAATTAACCAATCCACTAGCATATCATAAACAGGTTCATATTTATACCTAAAAGTGTTCTGTTTTCAAAAGGAGCCAATCAAAAATGTCATTGTTATATGACATTCAAACAGGTTGCCAGTTTTCAAAAAGGGCTTTTAGAACACAGTGGCAAAATTTCTTTCTTTCTAAACAATCATATGAAAATGACTATTTTGGCTTGGAATCATTTAAACATAATGTAGATTATAGAAATATAAATCATATGCTTTCATTTCACTCACTTTGATTACGTGTGTGTGTGTGTTTATTGTGCCAGGTGTTCTTGGAGAAAAGGACTGTGTGGTTAAATTGGTTCCTGGCTTGGGATGTTACAAGTACATTCTCTGTCCTTGGGTATAGGGTCTAAGATTAGGATGCTGTTCCAGGTGTAGGGAAAAAAAACAAAACAAAACATGCAGGGAAAGAACTACAAAATAGCAGGATAGTAAAGAATGGCTTATTATCAAAATACAAGTACCCTTTTTGCAAGAAGCAGGCAAATTGGAGAGGCCAATAATTTAAACCAGGCTGGGGATGTGGCTCAAGTACAAGGCTCTGACTTTAAACCCCAGTACCACAAACAGAAAGAAAGAGAGGGGAGGGGAGGGGAGGGGAGGGAAAGGAAGGGAAGGGAAGGGAAGGGAAGGGAAGGGAAGGGATAAACTGGTGTACTTCAAAGGAGTTGAGGCAGGTAGCTAGTAAGTCCAGCCATCTAACCATGTCTAAATAGTTTCCATACACCTCAACAGTTGAAGTAAGGGGTGTAGGGGTGCAGGATGGATAAGGCCAATGCATGCAGAGGCTGTCTTTGGGGGATTGGGACTCTGTCCAATAGGGTGGGGTTACTGAATGTCTTGAAACTGTGGCACTCCTGGAATCATTTGGTGGCTGCACCATGGATATCCAGGTGTGGGAAAGCCTATACCTGGCCATTTATCCTCCTTGACCTTTCCCCTTTAACCTTCTTTGGGAAGACTGGATGTGAATTGAGTCTATTGAAAATGTACATATTCCATAATAAATTTAACTATCACTTTCTTTTTCTTTCTTTTGTTTTATCATTTTTACATTTACTTACATGTGTATACATTGTTTGGGCTACATTTTCCCCCCCTTCCAGGTTAACTATCACTTTCACTACAGTTTCTCCTCTTGTTACTGTTGGGTGGTCTCAGAAGACCTTTGTCAAGAAGATCTCAGGTTCTCATGTCTCACAGAACACAGGATTGGATTCAGATTGCAAAGCAGTAGCGAAGTTTTATTGAAAGGGAAAAGAAAGTGTAGGCAGGGTGACACACCGAAAGGGAGAGCAGTGGGCTCTGGCAATAGGCACAGAAGCCCTCATCTTTGTTCAAAGGGCACTTTATAAGCTGTGTGGGCAGTGGCAGGAAAAATTGGGACAGTCTTTGCAGAAAAGCCAGGGTAATTGACAGGTTTTGTGGTAGAATGAAATGGAAAGAGATCTATCCCAGCACCTCTTGCTGACAGGCAGTAGCTGTGCTCACTGACATTTAACCACAAAGGCAAAAACAGAAGCTTCCAGCTGGAGATTCAGCAAGAGGACATAGTAGCAAAAGCCACCAACAGAAGTAAGGACTCCTTTGGCCTCCTTTTCTTGCCCTGGTAGAGACAGGCTTATTCCCAAATTAGGATGTAAAAGCTGTCCTCCAATGAGCATACATTGACCTCCTGCCTTGATGTACTCAAAACCTGCTAATGTATAAAAGTAATAGCCCTACTGTGTTCGGGTTCAGACTTTGGGAGTTATCCCACTGAGCTGTGGCTCTGCCAATAAAGAGCTGCTTCCAGACCTCAGTGTCACAACCAGACCCCTTTGTTCCTGTTACATTTCCATTGACAAGTCTTGTTAATGGGGCGTTCTGCACATGTGCTTATTCTGAGTCCCAGGTTTCATTGCATGCATGAGATGCGACCAATGTTCAAAAGGTCTTCAGTAGAGGGACTTTCTAGAGAGGTCAGATTAAAGGCAGATTTTGTTTTGTGGA